ACAAATTTATAGACACAGAAAGCAAATCAGTGGTTGGACTGGGCTGGAAAGGGGTTGTGGGGTGGGGCAGAAGGGATTGACTGCAAACAGGCCTGAAGAAACTCTGAGTGATGCTAGAGAGATTCTGAAACTGGGTCATGATGATATTTGCCAGGTTCTACAGATTTACAAATCATCCTTGAATTGACGGACCGTAGTGTTTATCCATCATAAGTGATAAACACTATGGTATGTAAATTATGCCTCAATGAAATTGGTTGAAGTTGGCACTTGGTTACCATCATATTTTTATTTCAGTGATATTATAGTTTCAGAAGCCTTTCCCAGGAAATGTAAAAAAAAAAAAAGTCTTTAATCACAGAATCCAGATTTTAAGTTGGTTTCTTTTCTTCTCCTCAAACCCCTGAGGCCCTTCACCTTTATACGGGTGGAGACATATTCAGAATGTAAAAAACTTCCTTCCCCTTCAAACTAATTAAGTAAGCTCTGATGACATCAGCTGTATTCGCAGCACACCTGATTAAGGCCATGATACTAATTAAATTCTTGAATGATTAGAAATGCAAATTGTCAGGCCTTGTACAGCAACAGGCATTGCTTCCTGGCTCTAGAATAATAAGTCAGGGAAATGATCAGGCTCATCTTGAGTTTGCCCTGAGTAAGAAAATAATAATAACTATGAATGGCTAAAACTTACCTATTTACAAGGGTCAAAATTTCCCTAGTAGAGTTAGCTTTTTTCTAGGTGAGTTCATTGAGAAGTGCTGTGACAGGGTAGGATGACCCCGAGCTTTAGGGCTGCACAGAAAAGAGTTCAAATTCTGCTCTGTCACTTACCAGACATGATTGTTGCTTAATTTAGTTTTATTTCTTCTAGCCCACATATCTGTAATATGGAATCTGATTCTTTATCTCAAAGAACTTAGAGGCTGATTAAATGAGATCTTTTATGTGTCATTGGGTCTTACATTAATAAATGGAATCCACTCAAAGGCTTAGTAAGGCAAGGAGTCTTATCACTTTATTCACTCAACACACACTGACTGAGTGGTCTACTGTGAGAAATTGAAGGTCCAGTGATCCATTTGCAGAATATAGTATTTAGCCTTAAAGGTAAAATTGGGATGTAAGAAAAGCAGCTGGAGGGGAGAGCAGAATGGAAAGCTAAAAGCAGGTAACACCAGAGTGTGACAAATTCATGGCCCCTTGATAAACAGGAGGTGAGGGGGAAGGATTGACCAAACCAGCAGAGATACACTCAACCCAAGAAGGCCTTCCTGCCACAAGAGAGCAAAGGGAGGTGGGCACAACTAAAGGTACATTTCTTTAAATAACCCAATAGGAGATAGTAAAACCTATTTGACATTTGGGAAGGCTGCACATACCATGGTACTCAGACACTGAGGAATCAGGGTGGGGATTGGGGGACCTTGTGCACTAGGGAATAAACGCTGATTGTAATTGCTCTAGGTGTGTCTGCTCCCCCAGATACCAATCTTGCAAGACCATCATTAAAAGCCTCACTTCTCTGTACCTTTTGTCTCTCAGTTCATTCTTTGGGTTTGGAGAGGTGAGCATGTTTCTCACATCTACTATCCACTTATTCCTCAAATTCAGCAAACATTGTGTGGACATCTGCTATATTCATGCCATTCTTAGTGTTCTAGATGCATCCATGAGTTTAAAAAAACAAAATCTATGTGGATAATAACTATAAACACTATCAATAACTAAATGTTTTTGTGTTAGATATAATAATATGTCCTGTGGAAAAAGAGCAAAATGAGTAAGAAGGATCTGGAGTCATGGAGGTAGGGTATATAAATGATGAGTTACAATTTCAGGTGGTCAGGGAAGGGCTCATTGAGTAGGTAAAATGTGAGGAAAGCCTCAAAGGAGTTAAGGGAGGTAGCCATCATCCAGAGATGTCTGGGGAAGAGTTGAATAAACATCTAGTACAATGATGCTCAAGTGCAATGTGCTAGAAACCTTTACAGGGCATGGGTAGGGAGGGTAATCACCCTGGAGATACAAGGGTAAGCTGAAGAGTAAGAACCTCGTTCAAACTCTGCCTCCATCCCCTGCCTGTCATGTCATCTTTGGCTTGTTATTTAATATCTCTGAGCATATAGCCCTTCGTCTACAAAATGAGATTTGAATATCTATTTCCAAAAAGATTACCTGTCCCAAAAGATTGAAGCATTCTCTTACTCCGTGACCTCTGAAGCTGGAGTTTGTAGGTTATATTTCAGCAGAAAAAGCAGAACAGAGGCTGTATTTTATTTCTGTCTACTTGTGATCCATTCAGCATCTTGCATCCCCTTCCACTGAGCTCATTCCAGTACTGCATCAGGTTGGTGGGCAGTGAGGAGACAGGGCTGGCTGAGGTTGAAGAACAATTGTGGGATATGAAAAAAGATGTAGCTATAAGAGAGAGAAGCATTAGTTTATTCTCTCAACAAGTAGTTGTTACAGAATGAATAAACTAATCCAGCTATCTACTGTGTTCTGTATGCACTTATTGCATTGAAAAAAACAATGCAGAGAGTGGTTTTAAATATTAAGATGATCAATTTTATATACATATAAATGCACGTGTGTGTGTGTGTGTGTGTGTGGTTTTCTCAGAATCAACTATACATCAAAGGTGACTCATATGCTTTTGTTAGGTACTTCTGGTGAATTGTGTGTCTGAGTTTGAGAGAACAGGATCCTGGTATCTTCTTTAATGTAATTCCTCTCAAACTTTCCTTTGGTTCCTTGCTGGATGTAAATGGTATAATGGAAAGAACACAGAATTCAGTTAGGAGATCTTAATTCAACAACTACCTCTTCAAGACTGAACTGTATGACTTGCTATTTATCTCCTCTGAGCTTTATTTTCCTCACTTATATAATAACAATGAAACCTCTACATTGTCTGCCTCCCAAACATCACAGGGCAAATGAGGAAATGCATTTGAAATCACTTGGTCAACTATACATGTTAACCTGAAGTGCGGTGAGGGGTTACTGTTGAAGAAAGAGGCTGATGGAAACTGGGGGATGGTCAGTTATTTGTTGTAAAAAGAATAGTTTTGGCATTTCTCCACTGGGTAGACGTTTGGTGCTAATTTATGCACATTAGTTAATTTTGTTTTGCTGGGGGTTCAGATGGGACTCCCTGATGGATGTGCCATCCATGACAGAGTCAAGAAAAGCACATGGCTCAATACTGTGATCCTTTCAGGGTTGGAACTAAAGGAGAAGGGCTCTTGAGAAGCATGGGTTTGGCTGACAATTTCAAAGTCATCTGCTCATGGAAACCCTGCTGAGGCCCAGAAAGTCGGATGAGTAAAGAAAACTCTCCTTCCTTTAACACCCTTGGGGGCGTTTTCCACCCAGCACTTCAGCCGTCTGGGTTTTCCATGCCAGGCATATAGGAAGGTACTGCATTCACAAAATGGTGCCTGGTGGTGCCATGCCCTTCTTTCCAAGCTCTGAAACCATCTGGGCTAGCTGCAAGTGAGAAGAAGAAAGTGGCATACTCTTCCATGCAGAAAAACACTTTTAGGAGTGAAATTTAAGACATATTCTTGGGAAAAAGAGAATTACTCAGGAGAATGACAGCAAGATGCTCTGTAAAATTAAGTGTGCCTGGTTACAGCATTAATTGGGTGTGGCAGAGAAGAATCACTGAATTAAGAATCATTCAACCTGATAGTGGGACATGAGGCATGTGAACCTTTGCATCTCTGCTTGTGGGTTCATCACACTCTGGGAGCTGCAAGCTGCTATGAATGGGACCAAGGTTTTTGCATTTTTTCTTCTCGCTCCAGGGCTCACCCCTTGTGCCTGGCATTCTGCAGTCACTCAGCACTTGTGACTCAGTGGAATGGTGGCACTATCTCTGTCCATGCAATCAGGCTGGTTAGGAAAGAAAGGCTATCCCTGAGTTTACCATGGGTAACTCTCCTCAATGTACTACAATCCTCAATATTTGGGGATGATTTTCAATTGGTCAAAACATTTCTCTTCTTTGGTACCCATTCATTTGCCCTATCACATGGGCTAGCTATGGGCCAGGGTGCAAGCTTGCTGTGGCCTCTTTCTATGAGGCTGACATCCCCAGACATGCTGGATGGTCCAGAGGTGACTGTAATGTCTTACGGGTATTAATAATTGAGATATTGATAATCAAAAGTGTCTTATAGTGGTAAAACATGTAAAAATCAATTTGATAGCTATTTAGAAATTTTCGATTTCATTTGAACTTTCCATGTACAACTTTGAGTATAAATTTCCTAACTTCTGTAATGACTGACTGTAGGCAATTCTTTGAATACTCCTGCCACAGGAAGTGTTCCAGGACAGCTAAACAACATTTCATTTCCTGGATCTTCCTGTTAAAACATCTTAGTATTAGTTTGCTTATTCTTTTTGTCATGATGTGTTTATCAACATTGAAGTTCTTTGCTTTGCTTATAGTGCAAAATATTAGATTTTTTTTCTTAATTTTCTCTTCTTTTTGTATTTTTCTGACAACACATGTAATTTTTATCCCTCCATCTTAAAAGCCAGGCATTGGGTGTTCCTCAATAGAAAATTATTAACTGGGAGATTTTAATCAAATTCCATATTTACTCTTTCAACATATTTTATTTTTTAAAAAATATTTTTTATTAATTAATTTCATTACTAAGCTTCTTGTAGAATTTCCCAAATTCTTTCCAACTTACTCATGAAATCATGATTTTCTGTGTGTCATAAGGTGAAAACGTTAGGGTAATACTGCTATAAATTATCCGTGTTGCAGTTTTTTACCTTGGGAGATTAGATGTAAGTAGAAACAATGTTAATCTTGGCAGAAGGGATTTGTTAGAGGAATCCAAGATGTTTCTATGTTCATTTTTAAAGTGCCATTGGCTAAGATGGTAAGATAAAGAGGGACACTTTATTTTTTGTGAACAGTATTTCTTAATGATGGACGTTTCCTGATGGGATTGAATGTGTCTCTGCAGATGCCTCCCTTCCCAGCTGGATCACCTTGCTTCCTTCAAGAAAAAAGGGGTGGAAAGAGCCCACAGGAACTGAAAAGGTAAATAGCTCTACATCCAGCACACCAATCTTTGAAATTAAACATGGATTTTACAGACTGCAAAATGTCAGAGTCATACTAGTCATACAATTTATTAAACTACATTTAAATGAAAAGTAAGTGGTAACTCTTCTATTTAAAAATTAATTGAACAACTGCTATTAGATTGAATTGAAACACTTAGATTTCATTTCTACTGATTAAATACACCCAGTATAGGAGGAAAAAAAAACCCATAAATGGATCTGAAACTGACCTTAGATTACTTTCCCAGGGTGGCGGAAGTGTGTGGAAGGTGGTGTCCCCTTTCTCGGCAGGGCTGGGAGAAGGTTAACCTGCAGTTGAATGGCTGTCCCTGGGCAGGGAGGGCACAAGGCACCAACTCAGTGGTCTCAGGAGTATGATTGTCATGGTTAGTGAATGAAAATACAATACATGCAATATTTAGATCACACACTAAAACTTTATTTGTTGCTTCTCAAAATTTAACCGAATATTCTGTTTTTATCTAGTGACTCCACTTAGATCCCTTTCCCTCCAATTTTCCCCTGAGAAACTGTTAAGAATGAAAAAAAAGTGGTGATGGTGGAAATCTGCCAGGTAGTAAGTGGGTAGTGTAATTGGGGGGAGGGGTGGAGACATAGCATCATTCTTGTGTCATTTATTTGGGGGGAGATTTCACAGGATTCCTAGGGGCCAGGTGCTGATCAACTAGGGTTCAAGTCAGCACTGATTCTTGAAGAAGACCAGAAATTACACACAAAAAGAAGAAGATAGGAGTTGAGGAAGGGCATCACATTCAGAGAAGACAGCATGTACAAGAGGGGTAGAATAATCTCAGTATCCTCTCCGTGACACCAATCTGATCTTCCCAGAGGCCATCCCTCCTTCCTTTCCCCATACTATCATTGTCCTTTTCTGAAGACCTTATACTTTCTGCTATAGGGACATCTGTAATTGAAACCCATCACAGTAGTAGTTGGTAGGTAGGATATGGGACAAACCCTGGACACATCTACCAAGTGAGCCAAGAACACAGATGCTTTTAATAGAAGATTGACAAGGCACACACATCAAAAGTTTCAACAATTTTTTCAAGCAAGGCAACATTTTGTTATATATATGCACCTAAGTCAACTATGAAGATTGATTCATATAACATCAGACCTGAGGTATCTATTTCCCATGAGAGAAGGAACAATAAGAAAGCAGACCAAATGGAAAAACAAGGAAAATTCCTTGCATTCCCTAAGGTTTATCCTGGGGCCACCCCATACTGCTAAAGTATATGAGGAAAAGCTCTTTGTTGTACATCTCAGCAGTCGACTGCTTTTGAATGTTATCTTTTAGAGGAGAGAGGTTGTCTCTTCCCTAGTCCTTGAAGTTCTCTTATAAACTTTATGATATTATGTGAATAAATAAGTAAGAACATGCTTTCTTCTTCTTGGAGGCACACAAAAGGAGGGCATTGTGGGAGGGCAATTTTCTTGCTGTCCTTTTCCATTAATGGTATGATTTAGAGACAAGCCTATGCAGACTATGTCTTCTAATAGATTTAAGATTTAGATATCTGGCCCTTTTTAAATTTGTTTGTTTGCTTTAAAATGTTGGTTGCCAGAGCTCTATCATTTATGATAGGTTGGGGGTTTCCTTGCTATGGTTTTGTTTTGGTTTGGTTGCTGGAGCTGAGGGAGGTGTTTTGGGGAGTTATACTTTGCTCAACAGCTGTCTAAGGGTTCGAAGTGGTTCAACCTTGTTTTTTTTTTTCCCTGAGAAAGAGCCATCTCTGATTCTCTCAGCCATCTGGAAAATTTGTCTTTTTCCAGACTTTGAGGAGAGTGTGGTTTCGTTTGCTTCCCTAGTCCACAGTGCCCCTGTTTGGGACGAGGTTAACACCACCCTGGGTCCATTGAGGGTTGGTTTCTGCTCTCTGGCGCCACCTGCTGTAACCAGCTGCACTCACAGGCTTCCTGGTCTCCAGCCCCAGGCTCCCAGCAGGAGCCAGAGCCAGAACCTCAGCCCAAGCAGATGTTGTACAGGCTGCCAAATTTCTGTCCAGACCTTATCTGTGCTGCCTCCACTGGATCCCTCGCTCAGAATCCCAAGTGTCCCCAGATGACTTGTCTCAAGTCACGCAGACCCTGAGCTCCTGGGCCAGAGAGAGGGAGCCTGCCAGTTTGGGGGTTGCTGACCAGTGGCTCTTGCCAGTGACAGTGTGGTCAGTGGAGGCCACCTCTCCTTAGCAGTGAAAATGCACATGGATTTCTTTCAAAGTGTCAATAGGCACAAGGAACTTATTCTCTAATGGACTTTCCATTGTGTCCCCAATGTGTCCCCTGATTGAGCCCTCAAGTATTTCCCAAGTTGCTCAGGAATTGAAATTTATTTTCCTCCGCTCTGGACTTTTCTACATTCTCACATAAATTAGCAATTCTAACCCCAGGACCACAAAGAAAGTGAAGTGCTGATTTTTGCTAGATTTTTATTAGGAGAGTTACCCCATTTCTCCCTGTTCCAGATTGAAGTTCTCTTAATGGCAGGTACTTACTCATTTGTTCCTCCTCCATCACAGGCAGCCTGGCACATAGTAGGTGCTTCATAAAACATGGTGAAATGAGTAGTCTCTAGCTGATCAAAATCCTTCTTAAAGTTCTTTTCTATTTGGCTATGAGAAGGGAAAACTGTCAGATTTGAGATTCTGAGAGTTCATATCTAATATAAGCCCCCACCCTGAATAAAGTTGACTTGGTAGAAAAAAATTAAGGGGATTAGTAATAACAATTTCTATTATCACCGATAAGAATGAGGGTGATGACTAACTAATGTCTCCTGAAGTTAGAAAAAAAATAGAAATACATGCTTGCAGGAGAGAATTGGTTTGATATAAGATAGAACTTCCGGAGAGCCAAGGTTACAGGATACTCTTGTGAAATATAAAGTGGAGTTTATGCCAACAACTACTCGAGAGTGAGATAACGCATCCATTTTATGCAATAAGCACTTAAACTTCTGCATTGTGCCAGGGCTGCAAGAGATGATGAAGTTAAAAAGGTTAATTATGTACAGTGCTTATCCCCTGAGAAGACAGGAGAAAATAAATGGACAATTTCCATAGACTTTTCTAATGGCAAAGAAAGAGGCATGCCCAGGGTGCTGTGGGAATCCTTAGATGAAGGGAAGCCCTGATTCAAGTTGTGTGGTCAGGGAAGGCTTCCTGGAGGAGGTGATGCTGGTATGAGTCTTATAACCGGGTGGAAGATGTCCAGATGCATGCATGCAGTAGGTGGATTCCAGGAAAAGTGAACAGTTAGATCAGAGGTACAAACATCTTCAGATCACAGGAAATTCTTCCAGTCCTTCTCAGCTGAGTCATCTAGAAAATGCTACTGTGCCATAGAAAATGTCTTACCACCTGGGTGCCAAAAGTGGCTCCGTTTTCTGTTTCATGGTGGGTTTGTCTCCTTGTTGCAATGACTTCTAGATTTGGAGGCAATGGGCAATAATCTTTTCAACTCCAGCATCTTATTCAGTGCTGGCACAAGGCAGAAGCTTAAGAATTGCTTATGGAACTGACTGGATACGTCATCTCTCTAACGTAGTTGTTGGAGTAAACTTCCTTTGTATTTTACATGAGTGTCCCATAACCTTCACCCTTGGGAAGGTCTCAGGAATCCTGTTTTTCTCTGCAATGGAGGGTCATGGTCTCTGAATCAGCCTTTCTGCCCTAATATTCAGGGCACCCCACATCCCTGATGCTTCAAATCCCATGTAGCTGGGGATTGCCCACAGAGCCATGCTGCCTGGAGTCCTGGCCCAGGGTTTCTTGTGTGACCCAGAGTACCACAGAGAGAAAAGCTAAGGGAGCTCAGAAAATATGCCAGCTGCTACCCGGAGATTCTCTCACAGCAGCTACTGTTTGAATTCCAATAGATTATTAGTCCCATTGTACAGATGGGAAAACGGAGGATGATGGGCATGGAGCGACTTTCTAGGTCCTGGGGAATAGCCAATGCCTTTTATATATTAATTTAGCTTCTTGTTTCTTACTTCAGTGCTACAGCTAGTACCTTCGCAGGGTGAGAACCTCTGAGAGGCATTTTTCCCAGAAAGAAGCACTCTGGGATTGGCAGGCCAGTTAGTAATGGCCCGTTTCCATTGGATACCCTGCCTATTGGGCTGGCATTATGGAGGGGGGATGTTCCCAGGCTCCTCTGGGGAGGTCATTCAATCCCAGCCATGGCAGCTGGTGTCCTTGATGCCCTGGACCTCCATCAGAGAGGAATCTGGGGAAAACAAAGAGTGCAGCCGTGGCTGCAGACCTGAGCCCTCCACGCCCACTTGCCCGGGGTGGGGCCCAGCAGGGTTGGTGCCAGGCGCTGTGTGGCTTCTCCACCCCCTTCCAGGGCCCCTCAGCTCATCTGCTGGCTTTCAGAACCCCAGCCTTCCTGAATGGGTCTTTGTGTGCACCCCAGGAGCTGGCTCGGAAGAGCCCTGATGGAAATGCTGGACAGAGATGTCTCCTCGGGATCCAGGCACAGCCCGGCATGGTGCCCATCTTGTGGGAGGAAGGCCTTTATTGTGCCGCTTCAATGCTCCTGATCTGGGAGGGAGTGGGACCTGGATGAATGGGAGAAATGTTCTGCGCCCCTGCACAGTGGGGTCATGGGCAGGGCCACAGGGACGGCGGCTCCCCAGCCACTTCCCCACAGCTCTCTTTCCCACTCCGTCTCAGCCACTTTGTCCCCAGAGATGACTGTGGTAATATTCATACCCAGAGGCACTGTCACGTGCTCACTCCCCAGGTGCCAGGCATTGTGTTCGGGGTTCAGTCTTATTTAATTAAATGGAAGATGTCATTTCACAGTCTCCAGGCTACCCGCTACCCACGAGGAAGCCAAGGTCTAGAGATGGTGAGCAACCCGCCAGGGGATTCTGAACAGGAAAGCCAATGGGGATCAGATGGATCTTCACCCTAAACTCCTCCTTCCAGTTTTCAAGGT